TTTGTAGAACGTGCGCAACCGGACATTTTTTACGGTAATAATTGCTCAATAATGACGTCATCAGGGGAGGGGGTGGGGTGGGCCAAGACCATTCATAAAAATTGACTTCATAAAATTGACGTTCATAAAATGGACGTTTTACTGTATATGGTCATGATGTGATGTTCCCATGACCCTATTTAGGCAAGTCACATGTTTTTGTCAAATAAGAATTGGTGATAGGTCTGGAAAGTTATTCAATTAAAAAATATTTTTCCTTTCCAGATTGACCCCAACCTTACTTTTCAGGTAAACAGGATGTTATATAACTTTCTTAATCTATTTTACCTACAGCTTTTATTTTAAATGCAATATCTTAAAATCTTGAAAACCACTTAAAATGTAATAACATTTTGTTGCAATTAAAAAGAAAAAACAATTCTAGATACTACCGAGAATCCCTAAAGTTACCAGACAGAATAAGATTTTCCTGCACAAAATATAATAATGATATTGTGTCAGGGAATGTTTTTTTTAGTCTAATTTAAAAATTGAAAGATGAAAATTTCTTAATATAACAATTGAAGCAATTCAAAGATGTATTTTTTCTCCCACACTTTTTTGAGATATAAATACAGATTCTATATTTTAAAATATGAGTACAGTAACTCCTTAGGATGACAGATGTAAGGCCATAATTGATTCTACTTTTCATACTTTTATGAGAATATAAAACTATAAAGAATGAAATATAAAATCAATTATTGCCCCAAGTCTGTCATTCTTCGGATTTACCATACTCATATTTTATTTGTGATTAATCAGTTGATCCTTTGGTTTATGCTATATTTTTTGCAAAACAAGTTTCCCTCTAATTAAGGACCACCTCCAATTAAAGACCACTTTTCTGTGGTTCAAAGTAAACAAACGTCTTTTATCTTTATTATTCTAATTAGAGACCAAAGCTGCCTAAAGCATATCAGCAGTCTTTTATTCATTCATTCACTGCCACCTGTAACTATTTACATCATTAACATGGATTATTAGACATTCCCTTTTCTTTTTTGCATATGATTATAGCATAAATAAATACAAATAATAATAATAATTTGCAATTTGTATAGTGCTTCCCGTTGGACCAACCTCGAGGCGCATATATAAACACATACCTAGGGATGTGCATGGCACACATCTAGATGTGTATAAGAGACAGCCACCACGGTGAAAAAATCAATTGTTCTATTGGCTGGAGTGAAATTATGCTACATTATGCTACGCCCCAAAAAATGGATATATACACGGCCATCGTGTATATAATAAAATTTATTATTATATCCACGCAATAACCTCCCAGCCTTCGTCAATTAGGCCTAGTTGGAACTAAAATATGTTTTTCTCTCTCATTATGGAAATGTCTACGCTATTTTTTTTTAATTCAAAATCATCATAAATTACTTAACTTCTAACATTATATACTGTACTATAATCATATCAGTTGTTTTTAAACACAATTATAATTCTTAACTATAACATTATTGGTGTAAATTTTGCCCAACCTGACGTGTAATAATGTAATGAATACTGTAATAGACATTTTGAGAACACTTTGCATTGTTCTCGGTTGGGACTCAAGTTCCGAAACCCATTTTTGTCGTGTATATATTGTATGGTACAACAAAGCAGCCTTTGTTTTTGGAATATTTTATTACCAATACAGTTTTTATAATTTTATTTAAAATTTCAAAGTCAACCTAAATTATGCTACATTATGCTACTTTTTGGTGAAATTATGCATAGCATAAATGAGGCATGTCATGGCGAAATGGTTAAGTTGTCGCACAGACCAGTATCGAGTAAATAAGCTATAAAATATGGGAGCTCAAAAAATGCCTAAAAATCCAAATTTGTTTTTCACTATTGATCAATAGTTTAATGTCTTATTAATCATGTACCAATGTATTAGTTCTGGAAGTGGTCAACAAATTGTTTATTTAATGTTATTTTGATAGTTCATTCTATTAAGCAATGTATGCACAAATAACTTTGAAAGGCAATTACTCAAAATCATGTTTATCTTGATTCTGAGAGAACTATACTTTCATTTTCCAATAACTTAGGCTTGAAATGTCCAATTTAAATGAATGACCCCTCATTTTAAAGATCACATACTCAGGTATCTGAAAATACCAATAACTTGAATTTCAAATTTTGCTACAACTTAACCATTTTGCCACAACATGCCTCAAATGCTAAATGCTACAGGAGTCTAAATTATGCTACAAAGCATAATTATGCTACGTGTGGCCACACTGCCCCCTCCCCACAAATATGTCCCCTCTTCCCAGTTGCCCTCAATCTCCTTCCATAGAAAATGGTCAAATCTAATAAATCACCTTTGTGAGCCAGCACCCCTCACCTAAATGTTGAGTTCCCTCCCCCATTTCAAGACTCCTAAATACGCCACTGCCTAAAACACACATACAGTAAGGATCATAGTACAGGGAACAACAGTTATCACATTTAAAAAAGACAGTATTTAACAATCACACTATAGAATGCGAACGGTTGGTGGTGATGCCTTTTTCTGAATGTCTAGCAGATTGTCATTAACAATGATCTTTTGCATCGTTCAACAAACGTCAACAAAACTTGTGCCTGACTCAGGACAAGGTGCCATTTAATACAGTTTATGTTCCACTATGTTTTTTTTTATTTTACTGGAATGTTACAATACAGAGTTATATCTAAAAATTGTAATCAAATAATCAGTCAATGAATAAACATTTTTAAAAGTCAATCTTGATGTCAACATAAAGAAACTTAATTTAACTTAATTAGAGTATGTGAGGCCATCTAGGCAGTGGCATATCTAAAATTCTTTAATGGGGGTTGTTGATGGGGGCGCGAAGGTAAATTGGGGGAGCTCGATGACCAGTTGAGGGGAACTCGCAAAATAAGGTTGTTAGGTTATTTTACGATACGATACAACTTTATTTCCATCAAAATTCAATAAAATACAATAAAGATACGGATGGAGGAGATACAACGAAAAGCAAACAGCCTGTAAAATGTTGTATCACCTTTACATAAAAATAGTTAAATAAATTTAGGACACAAACAAAGACAAACTCACACCCTCCCAGGATGGAAACATAGAAGTATGAAGTCAAGCAATTGGGAAAAATGCATAAAAAGAGATTTAGAAAGCAATGCAGGTAATGAATTTGTGTTCACAGTCAACTGTACAAATACATATTGTGAGTGTAGGCCTATATCGTACACATTAAGTTACAACAAAATACCTTAGGAGTCCGGAGGTATTGAATTATGTTTAAAGTGAACTAAATATGTGTACACTATTAATATATGCATATTAAAATAGACATTTGAGAATCCTTTTGAACTGCGCTAACGTATGAGCACATTTGGCATTGATAGGCAGATCATTCCATACCTGAAGACAACACAGTTTTAACCCTTTTAACTGGAATTAAGAAATCATCTTTGTTTTTGGTATTGTAGTTATGGTTTTCACGATGAGTATTAAAAAAATAATTAAGTTGTACATAGAAATAGCAATTTCACTTGTACACTTGTCAAAGATATTCAAAACATTATATTTAAGAAATAATTGTTTAGTTGGACACAGATACAACCTGTGTGGTATTGCTCTTAAGGCACGGTTTTGTAATAGAATCAATTTGTTTATATATATACTTTACTGGCATTTCCCCATAGAAGCAAACCATAATTTAAATACGGTAGAACCAATGAGCAGTACAGTTGATAGAGTGAAGCCTTTGGTAAAAATGTTTTGACTTTGTTAAGAACACCAATATTTCTAGAACATGATCTAGAAACATTCTCAATGTGTTTTTTCGATGTCAAGTTTTCGTCAATAGTTATTCCTGAAAAAGTAGCTTCATGGACTCTATTTATAATTTACACCCATCGAGATAAATATCACAATTAGTGCAGATATTTTTTGTCTGCAAAGGGGTACCCAGGTACATAAAGTGTTTTTTTTTTGCATTTAATGATAATTTGTTTGCCTTAAACCAATTACAGACTTCTTTAAACTCGTTATTAACCGTGTTACTTAAATACAGACACATTTTCATGTGAGTAAAATATAGTGATATCATCAGCTAATAAAATTGTAGTTTTAGCAATCTTGATGTGTGACGAATATCAGTCATGTAAAGAATAAAGAGTAATATGCCCATTTAATTTACATAGGAATCATTTTTAACTACTTGACCATGATTTTTTAGGGGGCGGGCGACTGGCGACCCCCCCCCCCCTACATATGCCACTGCATCTAGGTCTAATCTAAAGACTTAAGGAATGAGTTTATTGAGGTATCCTGAAGCAGGAGTAACTTAGTTCTGAAACACTTAGGATGCTTGTGCAAAATTGAAGGAGGGTTTTTGACAGAGCTGGTCACATTTGTGGTTCTTGATGTTATGCAGATAGTTCTAAAGTTGAAAGTATTTTATCATTGTGCTTTCTAATAATATTGCTGACACAAGTGTGTATATTTGTGTTCTGTATTCTATACTGTTTAATAGTCATGACACCTCTTTGTATACCAAACTTTGAATGTTTAAACTATGTCAAAGTATGTTGTATGAATGTAAATTGTCACATTGGCAGTAATAATTCTTACTCATTACTCTATCATGCTTAGCCAATTTTATGCCTACCATATAGTAGATTTTTTTCTTTGTCTGATTTTGATCTCAGGAAGTTCTTAAAACATTGAAATAAACCATAGCTTTAAGCTATGGATGGTGTATGTACTGTGTTATGTACCAATTGGTCTTGAAATTATCAGGGTTGTTTCCCATTACTAAGGATCTTCCAGGACCATAAATTAGATAATGATTTGTCCGATTACAAGTATTATTACATAGGAATTATCTCTATGCAATTTAAAATGAATAAAATGTTGTTTAGCAAAATACAAAACGGATATTCGGCTAGACACTTGCACCTACAGTATATAGAAGCCTATTTTTTCAATAATTGATTATATTGATCGTGATTGAATTTACGTTTGCTAATGCAAGTCTTCTAGGGAAATCAGAGACAATAGAAAATGCAAAGTCATTGGTTTTATCCTTTTCATTCTCATGAATCACTCTAAGAAACTTGCCACAATTGTTAAATAACTGTACTTTTCCCTTACATGCTACAATAATGTTGTCATCATAATCAACACTCACTCTTGTTGGATTTATCACCATACCATCTTCATTACCTCCATAAATAATAACCTTAATAAATTGACCATCAGAACAAAATAATTGCAATCTGTGATTGTCAGTGTCAGCTACAATGACATTCCCATTTTTTGTGACAGCAACATCAGAAGGTCCATTCATTTGTCCTTCAAGACCTCCTTTAGATCCAATGGTCTTTACCTTAATGTTGGTCTCCAAGTTGAATACCTTCACACAATTTGCAGCTTGATCAGCAACATACACCAAGTTTAAGTCTTCATCCACATCAATACCAGATAAACAACTCTCGGTTGCAAGACCTGTAGATTTCGTCGCAAGACAAGTTGTTATGGATTTGATCACACGACCATCTTGTTTAAATATTGTTATGTTGCTATTACCCCAGTCACAGAATATCAGGTTGTTGTTTTTTAATTTGCATATTCTTTTAACCTTTGATGTCGGTGATAATGTTATTGTACTCATAAAAGCTCCTGACATTTCAAACTTAAATACTTTATGTGTGTTACAAGCAACTAAAAACCAACCATTTCCAGATATCAGTAGATCTTTGATACCCCTGTCATATTCACTCTTTTCTCTCTCAACCATATACTCACCAAAATATTGTTTTTGTTTATATCTGATGCTTATTGCACCTGTAGATTGACCAACATTTTTAATACATCTTATGATTCCAACAGGCTCAACAACAATTTTAATTGGAGACCCCTTTATTGAAGCATTACAGAACATGACATTCAGTGTCACATCTTTATTTGAGTATCCTACTACGAAAAATTTCCCCTTATATCTAATAATTTTAGCGACACGCAGTTTTAATAATGATATTTTTCCATCTTCAAAGACTGCCAGGTCATTTATATTTACATCACATTCATATTTTTGTACTATTTCAACCTGAAAACGTTGGCAACTTGTCACAGTCATTGGATTTTCAGATACAATTTCAAAAATGTTTTCATTTGGCTTTTCACTAACACTACCTATTTTTAAAATGTTTTTCTTCATTATTACATCACATTCGGTTGGATAGAAGTAGATCTTCCCATCATCTTTAAGTTCTATCTTTGGCAAGACAGCAATCTTTTCTTGTAGTTCTTGAATTGCCTGTTGGCATGTTTGGAGGGCTGTTGCTTCATTGCTTTTCAATAATGTTGTGATGTAATTCTGTTTTTCTTCAACATCTGATATAATTGTTTTGAGTTCATCAATTTGAGAGGTACTTTGCTTGTGCTTTGCTTCACAGACATTTTCCAACTTCTCTTCCAACGCCTTTCTAGTGTCTTGGACTAATTTCAACATTTGACTTACACTGTAGTTTATGTGTCTTGTGATATCATTTCTTTGCTTATTTAGTTTGGAAGCATTTGCAATACATTTACTTATTCCTTCTTGAGTCTGCTGTTTGTGGAAGTCAGCCCGAACCATTAAAGCATTTGCTGTTACTCTGAAATCATTGAAAGCATCAGATGCACAGATAGGCTCATGTTGTCCCATATCTTCACTGTGATCTGTAATAGCACACTTGTGACAAATTAAAGTTTTATTAAAGTCCAACTCCTTCTCATGCTGTGGACAAAAAGGCTTTTGCATTGCTTCTGTGGAGGGTGTAACATTGATTGGCTGTATTGTGTGGTGCTTGAGTACTTGAAGTTTTTCATGAGTATTTTTGCAAGAAGTACACAAATACTGAGTACAGTCTTGGCAGTAAAAGTCTGCTCTGCGTTCACCACAACAACACTCCATGTCACTATGACCTCGATGCACGCTTTCTGCTGTTACAACTTCAGTTGTATTTGGTGGAAGTTCTTGAAGTCCACCCTCACTAACATCAGGATGGATTTGGCGGCAGTTTGGACATTCCAGCTCACCCTTTTTTGTCATCCAGTCTTGAAGGCAACAAAGGCAGAAGCTATGTTGACAATTTAACATTTTTAGTTCTTGGCACGTTTCCAGGCAAATTGAGCATTTATTTGAATTTTCCATTGATTGCTGCAACTCTTTTTCAGCCATCATTAAATTCTGAAAATATTTGAAGAACTGGGTAGTAAAACGAATAGATAAAGGTAATATTTGTTAAAATAGGATACTGTATTTTTAGGAACTGTGAATTCTTTTTTTTTCATGCTCAATTAATTGCAAAACTTTATTTACAAAAAATTATTAATATTTATACTGATATTATTGGGTAATCAAATGTCTGCATACAGTAGTGTCTAAACACGGGAATACTTTTAATGATTGGAAAGTGAGACTTGCTTTTCCACCAACTCTCACTTTCTAATCATTTAAGTATTTCCATTTTTGGACTCTGCTAGTATTTTAATCAGAAGCTAAAACAAACTGTGCAAACTGTGGCTGTCAATTTAATAGGTAAAAGTAAAGAGCAAAGGAACAAGTGGCCTAGTGGTAAGGCAGGGGCGCCGTTACTGCAGCCTTAACATCGGCGCTGTTTCTAGCTGCTCCTCGATCAGAGTTTGGTTGGTAAACTAAGTTTACTCAGATATAGACTTAAAAATGGAGGTCGAGTATATACATCTGGCTCATGTGCACTTTAAAGAGCCCATTGCATCTTTTGGAAGAGTAGGGGGTTATCCAGTCGTTGTGGAATGATGTGGACATGTACTGTAGCTACTATAAGCTCCTCTTTACGGCTGCTAGGTATAGTCATGGACCATGCCTGAGTTGTTTTCCTACTTTAATTTCACCTTTACCCTAAAATACTGTACATTACAAAATAAGTGAACCAAAGTACATATCAAATTGCAAGAAAAATAACAAGAAAACCTAAATCATTACCAAGTAATAGCAATAAGCAGCAGAGCCCCTATCACCCAAAAAGCATGTGCTTATCCCTTTACTGCAAACATTTAATATTATAAAAATATGTCTATTATGTTAATTAGGGTCTAGAAGCAAGGTGCAAACTCTGGCTGTCAATTTAATCCAGGTTGAATAAAGAATTACTGTAAGAGCTTCCTACATTAGTCAACATTGATTATAATAATAATAATAATAATAATAAACATAATATAAAGCACTTTTTCTGGTGTCTCACAGTGCTTTAGAGAATATTAAAGGACTTGAGTTGGTGGACAGATGTAGACTGAAGGATCAAACTATCACGTTAAATGAACATATGTATATACTTACATATAAATAATCAGTAAAAAAGAAGTATTTCAATTTAAATATATATAATAATATTGTTGATGTCATACCAAATTGTTGCTTGTTTCTCCTATATAAATTCCCATTCTATTATTATATCTCATGATCATTGATCTGAGGAATATACAGAAATAAAAAACAAACTATATTGCTATCCTGAACATTTTTACTAAATTTCCCTCCTTTTACAACATTGTAATGACAACTACAACTGAAAATAAGTAATGCCACACCCTATGTCTGTCTGTGTGACACAAAAAAGAAATATGCATAAAATTAACAACCAGAATAGAAAAAGAATACTTTTAAGCAAAAGAAATATGTAAAAATAGCAATTAAACAGAATAACAATGTTGAAGTTACAGCCATGGAAAAATCAGCATAATCTAGTTTAAAACTAGATTTAAACTCGTCACTGAGGACGAGTTTGGTGATCCGCCGCACTTTAACCCTCAGGAAGCGCGAGCGGTGTGGGATTGAAATGTTTTTAAATTCTCAAAATGGCCTAAAATATGCTCTACTTTCGTTTTTAAAATAGTGTAATTTTCAAAATTTGAAAAGATTTACTCTTGATGCCTGTGCACATGTTAATGGCACAAAAAGTTTACTCCTGATATGAATAGTATCAGGAACCCAAAATATGTAATAAAACGTAATTTCCAGCTTCAGTATGTGCAGTGCGCTTGGAAATGAGTGTACGGTGCACAAATTATGGAAAGTTTGGTAAAGCAGAAAATGTCCTGAAACGTGCTTTAAATTATTTTAAAAGTGATATTGAGAATTTCCAATTTTTACCGTACAAGCACGTCATGATGTGCACGTGGACCGTAATCCGTAATGGCACACAAAATTAAACCTTGCCAAGTGTAATTTAAAAACACCTGTTGGTTGGAAATGCCACACAAATTTTCCCTACATATGTACTATTATTTCAGTCTGATTGCGTCGAAATACAGTCTGCTGTCCTCTGTCATCAATGATTTTTGACAAATTTAAAGAAAGAGGGATGAGAAGGCTCTAAAAATTCATTCTTTTGACCATGATGACATCATCAAAATGAAAAATATAGGGACACTTCCAAAAGAGAATTGTCTCAGCTATAACATACTCACAGGTTGAAGATGATCGATCAAGAATAAGCGAGATACGTTCAAATGAGTGGAAAAATAATGATGTCATAAATAAAAATTCAGTTTTTTAAAATTCAGATGGCAATATGATGACGTCACAATGTCCGATCAGCCATAATGATCTATGAAATGATATCTACAACTCATGTGCTTTCAGAGTATGTAATAAAAATTGGGGTCACCTTTCATCCTAAGGAGCTATAACTGATTAAAAATATTCATGATTTTAAGCATATGTAAATTTTGATGCTCGCGTACGTGCATGCAAAGAAGCGCGAATGGAAAATTCAACCTTGACCTAAAGTTTATGCTCGCTTAATATGATTCAGAAATGACGAATGGTTAATATACTATTGGGTCATCAACATTTTGAGCAATGAAAAGATGAAGGGTGACTGAGCACATTGAAAATCTTATTGTGACTATTTCCAGGCCAAGCCAAATGTTCGCTGAAGTGGGCTTTTGAGATATCGTCCTAACAGCTAGATATTTGAAAGAAATGTAGAATTAAAAAAAAAGAAGAAAAAGATCTCCGACAATAACAAGAGGTGATCCGCTGGGGAAGCGGATCATCAAAAAAGATCCAGTACAATAACAAAAGGTGATCCGCTCGAGAAGCGGATCACCAAAAAGAAGAAAAAGATAAAGATGATGAACCTGACAATAACAAGAGGTGATCCGCTCGTGAAGTGGATCACCAATTATGTAACAAATCAACTGAACAAATATAACAATTATAGTCAACATAACAAAAAGTGTGAAGTATGATGATTGGAAATACATATTGTGCAAAAACTGAACTACAAATAACAACAGAAAATATACCACTTTCATAAATCAATTCATGTTGTCTTTTTATTCCCTGTGTAATTTCCTATTCTGGGTTTTTGCGTGCCAATTCGGTGGATACAAATTGGGTGTAGTATCATGAGCCTACAGTATTTATCATTATCTGTACATTTTAATAGACATGGAGCTTAGATGTTGTCATTTAGTTATCGTAAAGCAAATTTATACTTACGTAGAAGTTGATATTCTTTAAATCCAAATTGCAAGGTCCCACTAGTAACAATAATGTCTGGTAAATATGGCTGCCCTTAAGAAGTGGTAAATTCCTCAAAGTCTTTTTTCCCAGGTATCACTATCACGCCACACCTTCATGAATATTGAACTATTAATTATTAATCAACTTTATACTCAGTTGTTCAGCTATTAGTCTACTGTTATCCAATCGCTTTGCATCGTAAAGCAAATTTATACTTACGTAGAAGTTGATATTCTTTAAATCCAAATTGAAAGGTCCTACTAGTAACAATAATGTCTGGTAAATATGGCTGCCCTTAAGAAGTGGTAAATTCCTCAATGTCTTTTTTCCCTGGTATCACTATCACGCCACACCTTCATGAATATTGAACTATTAATTATTAATCAACTTATACTCAGTGGTTCAGCTATTAGTCTACTGTTATCCAATCGCTTTGCAGATCGTAAAGCTGTGTTAGCAATTTATATCAGGGCAATCCTAATCTTGTTTCCTGACTTGTGTTTTTTTTTTTGTTTGAAGGTTTGCATGGCGAAGTAATAACATTTTTTTTTTTCAAATTTTTTTGAAGCATCCAAATGTCTAATTCTACTTTAGCTCCTTAGTTTTTGTTTGTTGTGAATAAACTTTTGTTTTTCATTTCTGTTCTTGTATTTATATAATTTATTTACATTTTTTATGCATTTAATTTTAAATTTTGTTTTGTAATTTAAGAACATTCCCTGGACCGCAGAGAAGAACAGTGTTTTTTCTGTTTCTTGTATTTATGTAATTACATTTTTTATGCATTTTTAAAAATTTTGTTTTGTAATTTAAAAACATTTCCTGGACCTCAGGGAAGAACAGTGTTTTTTTTTCTGTTTCTTGTATTTATGTAATTACATTTTTTATGCATTTTTCTTTTAATTTAATGTAATTTAAGATCATTTCCTTGACCTCAGGGAAGAACAGTGTAACAATACTGAGCATCCAGAATAAAGAAACGTTTCTAACTATCTATTTATAGCTAGAGTTAAGTAGGTTTCCTTAACTCATACATTGATGGAGAATTCTTTACCTCTGTTTTAACTTCATTCCACAAATCTATAATGGAAGAAATAAATGATGGAATAATTTATCTGATCATATAAAACACTGCAGCTTAATAGGTGAATTCAAGAAACCAGTCCATACACACCAACTTAATCACACCACCAAAATCATATTTTCCTGTATATAAAATTGCTTTCATTCACATAACATTCAGTTGGTTCATTGCAGTAGTAAGTTTGCATGTTACGGACGATCTGCACATGAGACACACAAGACGAATATGATTATAAAATTTGAATGTTGTGCGTATAAGACGACCCCCAGCTTTTCCATCATAATTTGCTCTTTTAAGCGTCATCCTATACGCGAGTATATACGGTATTTGTTTTAAAACCCTAGGTCACCTGAACGTTAGAAGATTCCTCCATACAGTGGCGGATTCAAGGGGGAAATTTTGCATGGGTAGGACCCACAGATCCCCTTTCATTTTGGGTATTTTTGGAAACGTTTTGAACCCCATCTTTCAAATCCTGGATCCGCCCCCAAAAGGTTGTGTGTTATATTTAAATTGGTATGTTAATGAGCTCAGTTATTGTAAATATTTGTTTTATTCAATTATCAATTTGTAAAAAAGTAAAATATTGAATACGGTAGGTATACAGATATTATTATAGATGATATCTTAAAATTCATTTATACATTTTGGGAGCCAATTCACAGTTTTGTTAGGACTTCAGTTCAATAAAACAATTATGTAAATCTAAATTTGTTAGTGAATTTGTCGCTACAGTGTTACTTACCATCAAGGGTTTACACAGAAAAACGAAATAGGCCATCCTAAATGGAAGCCAATGGGTGGGCCACGCCCATCTTTGGGAATTCCCACTGAATATTGATACGAAAACAAAGTACATTCAATCAATAAATGTTGCTTTTATCAAATAAAATATGATTTAACTTCAGTTTATAACATTTGATAGATTTCAAGAATATAAAAAATCTGCTAAAGGTAGACCAGGCCTAATTAGGCTAGGTCAAGCTAATTAGGCCAAGCTGTCCAAGCCAAGATGGCCGGACAGCTCGCTGGCTAAGCCTATGCTCATTGTACATTGTATAAATAACTTCGCTCATATTTGTTGTATATCTTTATGTTTTTTGATAAATTTTATGAAATTATGATGTGAACATTATTATGATTAAATTGTACTTGACATCTAACAGGTCAACCAGGTATACCACGTCTGCTGCTGTGGCTAGATAATCATTTGTAGCCAAAATAGTGCCCTCTATAAATGCTTCCTCTTGTATGGAAGGATTTCCATATCCTAGGATGGCACACACTCATTTTATGACTTCCTCAATCCCAGCACAGTCAGAAATGTTTGTACAGTAGCCTCATAAGGTTAGAATGTGTCTTCTTTATTTTAAGGGCTCTTTGAAATTACTGAACCAACTACTAGTACAAGTTACGAGGTATATAACAAAAATACTAATACAAAAAAAAACACAACAGTAAAACTCCATTTTATGTAGTATCTTGGTAGTTAAGGCCCTAGGCATGATGTATCCTGTACGTGGATCCCAACCCCTAGCTTCTCACATGTACCATTAAAAATTAATTTACGAACCACAATAGAATTATTAGCTAGAGTGTTAGATTCCATGTAGCATTCTCCATCCATTGTGTGTATTTATGTATCTTCATATGTATCCATCATCATGTGGAAAGGCTAAATATTTGAAGAAAGGCGTTGAAGTCATCCTGAAGGAGTTGCTGGATGGGTGTTATTGGCTAGCCCAGAGCCAGTTGAATGGATGTCGAGTTAACCTCATCAAACCATGGTAATATCAAATGGAGGTTTTTTCACTTGTTTTGTGGCTGAAAAAAAGTGTCCTGTTAGGGGTTATACTGCATTAATATTTTGTTGGCAATGAGACAAACAGACTATAAACAAACATCATTTGAAGAAAAAAAACATTTATTTATGTATTTCAGCTGAAAAATACTTTAAAATTGCTTTGTATATTCAATATTGTATAATCAATTGAGTTTTTGGAACTTAATTTATTTAAACGCAACATATTCATGTGAACTCAGTACACTAAAACCAAGAAATAGCTTTAAGAATAATTATAAACTTGACAGAATTGGACTTAAAAAGTCTATAGAATGTGAGTTACTTTACCACCAATTATAGTTTTAATGGTAAACATAGTATAAGTACACTGTAAATAGCAGGCTAAGAATGTAAAGATATGCCTCTAGCATACTAAACATGTAAAAACACAGCTTTATAAACATAAGGACTGAAAAAAACTATTTTACAGTACATCAATTTACATAATTCTAACATCAAAAAAAATGTTAAATACAATTACTGAAGCCAGATATAGGCGCACTCAATAGTCAATCTTACAATGAACGCTATTTGAAGAGGTGCGCACAACAAATTGTTTTTAATGACAAACACTAAATGGCATAATGTTAATGAGTATTGTGTGCTCGACTTAATACATCATCATAAAATCTGAAAAAAAAACCTTTCAAAATTTAATTAAATAACATTGAATAGCTCTTTTTAAAGGGATCAAAGAATTTAATGACTTTGCAAATTGATATTTTTAAGTCTGATATATGGCTTTTATGTAAAGATTCTATTAATATTATTATTTATACATCTGGTTTTTGGCCAGAAAATTTGTCAATTTAATAAATTCATGTTTATATACCGTATATTAACACAATCTAATTTAGAAATTTATCTCCCCTTTAGCTCAACAATGAATGTTTATAAATATAAGGTGGAATAAATTTTGAGGTGGTTATACTTAAAATACAGTATAATTATGTGAACTACAATTCAGCTGTGTTATTAGTTTTACTTGGCATCATCATTTCTCTCTACTAAAGTGATAATAAAAACGAATATGTACTTTCCTAATTTTTTTTTTCAGTTGTTGAAAAATGAAGAAACACAAATACTGTATCTGATACAGAACTATAATGATTATTACTTAAGATGTAGGCCTTCTCTGCCATATAAAAATTGTGTTGTATAGTTTGTAAAATATTTAAGTTATTATAATATTATAGTCAATTTAATTGAAGTCTTAGAACTTAAAAATTTAAAGACTGTAACAATACCATTACTATATCTTTTGCATACATGCATAAAAAGCTGATAGAAAATTTAAGGATTACTATGTAATTATGTCTGTGAAATCTACACAAAAGACTGATAATAATAAATATTTTAAGATAATAAAAAATATGTTTAATAATAAAAAATAATGATAGTAGTTTGAGAACTTTGGTGTAAGACTTACCAAGCATTTCAGACTTGCGACATACAAAGTTACTTCTTTTCATGTATTGTAATTTCAGATCATTTGCAACATCTTTATGTTGCCTTCAGAGTGTTTTTTATACCAATAAATGAAATGAAATACACTTTGCTATTGTATTTCATTTCAGTTATTAGTATAAAATGCACTTTGCTTGTGTCCAAGGATTCTTTGCACTTATTTGTCCTTTTTGGATAAGATATTGATCTGTCAAGTGCACAATAGTATGTGCACTAAAGAGGACTTGGTACATTATTTTGAAAAAAAAAAAGTATTAATGGGAGGGTTTTCCTCCTTGTAAGGTGCTGCACCACATTTTACTATGTTCAATCAATAATCATTCAACCATGGATTCTGTCTATTTAGTTTGTGAATGCTTCTTAGATGCAATCACTCCACACCAAAGTCGTCAATGTGCATACACTGTTATCCTTGCAACATATAATTTTTTGAAAAGTGAGAAAAAATCCTTTTCTTTTTAATTGGATCAACAATAAGGATATTATCCTCAATTTTTACCTAGATGGCTTAAAAAATTGTTGCAAAGCCAAACTAGTAAATAACAATTTAAATTGGTGGTTGAGGCCATTAGTATGTTAAAAGCTTCCATAGCACCACCCTTACCTCATAATTATGCCACAAGATCTGAAAATCAACTTATTTGCATTATTTTGCAGTAACCTTCTTGGATATAACAAAATTACCTATTCTATACATACTGTACGTACACATTTTTTGATGTGTTTTGGACCATTCATATGATTATGAACCTTCTTTTTTATAATCTGTTCCTTCGCTTTTTGGGAATTGTTTTCTAATAATTAATTAACTGGATCATTCTTGAATTAATTTCTGCTAATGCAAGTCTTCGAGGAAAGCGAGTGACAATTGAAAATGCAAAATATGTATCTTTGTTTTGAATTTTATGAATTACTCTAATGAGCTTGCCACAGCTGCCAAATAACTGAACTTTGCATTCACTTGCAACAATAATGTTGTCATCATAATCAACACCTACTCTGGATGGCCTTATCACCATACCATCTGCATCCCCTCCGCCAATGAGAACTTTAATAAATTTACCATCAGGACTAAATAATTGCAGTCTGTGATTGTAAGTGTCAGCCACAATGAGGCTTCCTTCTTTTGTGACAGCAACATCTGAAGGTTTATTTAATTCTCCTTCAAGACCACCATACTTTCCAATGGTTTTCTCTTTAAGTTTACTCTCCATGTTGTATACATGTACACAATGTTGGTTTGGATCAGGTGCATATACTAAATTTAAATCTTCATTTACATCAATACCACTACCGATCGGAAATTTATATGAAGCTGCATGAGAAATTGATTTAATGAACTTACCATCATGATTGCAAACTGTTAAATAACTATCATTATTAAGCGTTGAAGTAATATTTGTGCTTAAAAATATTAGGTTGTTATTTTTCAATTTGCGAACTGTTTGAACATTACTTGGTATTTCTATTTTACTGACAAATGCTCCTGAATTTTCAAATCTAAATGCTCCATCTGTGTTACAAATAACTAAGTACCAACCATTTTCAGACATCACTAAATCTTGGATACCTTTATCAGAATCCACAATACCTGTTGATAGACCAATATTGCTTATGATTCCAGGCTGTTGAACATCAATCCTAATTGGTGATCCTTTAATTGGGGAATTACAAAACTTAACATCCAATGTTGTTTTTTCTGAGAAGGATCCTTTTACGAAGTATTTGCCACTATATTCAACTATACTTGAGTGATTGCCCATGTCAATGGGTTTTTGGAGTCCTGCTCTTTTTGATACTGTCAGATCTTTAATATCTATTTTACATTTATATCTTAGAGCTATTTCAACATGAACAGTTTGGCAACTAGTGACAGTCAGTGGATTTTCACATACAATTTCAAAGACATTTTTGTTTGTCTTTTCAAAAAAATTACCTAGTCCTTGTCTTTTGAAAGAGCTCATTATGTAGTCTTTTGTTGGAACAAAGTAAACCTTGCCATCATCTCTAGGTTCTATCTCTGGTAAATTAGCAATTTGTTCTTGTAGTTCTGTAATTGCCTGTTGGAAAGTTTGGAGAGTGTTTACTTTTCTGCTTTTTGATAATTTTGCAATGGCATTTTGTTTATCTTCAACACATGACATAAATGATTTGAGTTCATCAATTTGAGCGTTACTTTTCTTTTTCTTTTTCTCGCAGACTTCTTCAACCTCTTCTTTCAATGGTTTTGCTGTTTCTTTGACTAATGTAACTATTTCCTCTACACTGTTATTAATGTCTTCTATAATATCTTTTCTCCTTTTACTAAGCTCAGATGCATTTACAGTACATTTACTTATTCCTGCTTGTGCCTGTAGCTTATGAACATCGACCTGACTTACCAAAGCGTTTGCAGTTACTCTGAAGTAATTAAAGGCATCAGAAACATTGATTGCCTCATGCTGTCCGTCATCTTCTTTGTGATCTGTAATAACACACTTTTGACAAACTGGAATTTTGCAAATTTTACAATAAAATTCCATCACTTTTTCATGCAGTGAACACAATGGTTCTGGTTCCACTTCTGGCCAGGTAGCACTGGTTGGCTTTAGTATGTGGTTCTTGAGTGCAGGGAATTGGTCATGAGTATTTTTGCAAGAAGTACACAAATACTTACTACAATCCTGGCAGTAGAAGTCTGCATTGCCTTTACCACAACAACACTTAATGGGATCATGTTTGTCATCAAAATTTTCAGCAGTTAACTCTCCAATTACATTCGATGGTAAGTTTTGAAGCCCACCCTCAGGAGCAGGATGGATTTTGCGGCAGTTTGGACATTCCAGTGCACCCTTTTTTGTCATCCAGTTTTGAAGACAAAAAATGCAGAAGCTGTGTTGGCAATTTAATGTTTTTAGTTCTTGGCATTTGTCTAGGCAAATCGGGCATCTATTTGAATTTTCAAGTGATTGCTGCAACTCGTTTTCAGCCATCGTTGAATTCTGAAAGTATATAATACGGTACAGGACAAAAGCTTAAAGGAGAATTTTACTATTTTTTATATAATTTTAAAGCTGTTGCATCTTTGCTGTGTGTAATCTGTTTTCCTTCTTTGCACAAATGATACTGTAATCAAATCATATCCAATACTACTGAGTAAATTTTAATTAAAACTTCACAGGGTGATTAAGTAATTAAATCTAGTTGTAATAAATTACATATAGTTAATTATTCATAGAGGGGTGGTATATGGTGAATGAGGTTTATAATTAAAATTTGGATTGATGGAGGAGGTCAAGCACTACCATTCAAATAATTATTGAAACACTAAAGGCATGTTTAATATTTTTGCCAGTTATAAGTGAAATACTGTAATCAGCTAAGAGGAAATCTACGTCCCAGCTCTTAACATAATATGGAATTGAGAAATTGATTCCTTTTATTATAGCCTTGCCAAAGGAGTGAGGCTCCAGATAGGCTATTGTTTTTACCATGTTTGTTTATTGTTTTATTTATTAGGTTTTTCCACACATGCATATACATAACAATCAATAATCAAATTAATCATTATACAAAATTACAAAATTAGGCAAAACAGTACAGTTATATGATATAAGGTATATGCAAAAAATATTACAACATAATATAATGTTTATCGAAAGGTCCACTGATTAATATCAGATAACAGAGCATGCTCTTTTATCTGAGATTAATCAGTGGACTTTTCGGTATTCCAAGCATCGAAATGCACACCACTGCAGGGACCCAACATCCCGACACCAATCATGCAATTATCAAGGAATGTTCTTTTTCATGTTGTTGTTGTCATTGTTGGGCAAATCATTTGTTATCACAGTAATTAAAATTTGGTAAGACTGAATAATTTCAAACTTGGCAGAGTGCAAGATGCTAATAAGAAGACAGAGCCTATTATTTTTGATATGTGTGAATATGGTAATTAATGCTCATTTGCAAAATTAATATTTCACTAATCAGGTAATTTATTTTCAGTCCAATTGGTTTCAAAATTGACAGAATGCAATGATGGAAATAAGAAGATTGAACATTTGTTTTTGGTACTTGTGTCAATATGCTTATTGATAATTTGCATAATTATTTCATTAATCAGGTAGTACCCTATGCGGCGCTATTTACATGACCTTTTGTCACTTTACTCGTCAGTGACCTCATGATAAAATCGTATATACAGGCCTATAACTTTATAAAAAATAGTTTAAAAAGATTTTAAAATTGATTCTATTATTAATATGGCATATCTATAATCCCCTCTACAAAAAAAAAATCTTTTTTCTAGTTACCTTTTAATTGAATGTGTGAAATGTCAGTATAAAATTAAGTTATAAGTAAACAAATATTTTAATGTGAATTTATATATAGAATTGTAGTATGGTTAATGTGCATTTTCTTCAATTGCTGCCTAACTTTTAAATGTTCTGCTTCTACTCGGGTCTTGTGATTCAGGTAGGCAGTTCAAGGCCTGTCTGAAAGTACACCTATTTCAATAGTTCCCTTTCACTTGCTTAATAAGGTCTTATTTGTTCATTGTTTTGCTTGGAGGAAAAACAATCTACAGTATATCCTGAATATTTTTATCGAATATTTTTATCAAATTTCCTATACAACACTGTAAAGAAAACATGACAACTATGGCTGAAAATAATCCGCTGCCACGTGGCAAGTTCCAACAATTTATTTTCTTCTTTCTTCATTTAAACTTTTATTTACTTGACTCATTGAAACATCTTGAGTCAGCATAATATAGAGGCTACCTATAAATATATGACATTCATTTTTTAGACACGCCCTACACCGTAGTTTATAAACTTATATTGTAAAGTTCCACCGGCCAGAATTTGACCCTCAATGCTGGCCCACGGTCGGTCCGCTCGAGTCGGCTTGGCCTAACAATACAAGGCCAAGCATCATATGAACATTCTGAAATCTGTATCCTACTGTACTTCCGATCAGCACCAAATTAGAGGAGGACATTGTCAGAATGACTAAATCCTTGCTGACGCGCAGGTTGTAACCTGTCTCTTATACACATCTAGATTGGATGTTCTATTCAACGAGGTGTAGCCGAGTTGAATATAATCCAATATAAACCCTGTCTCTTATACACATCTAGATGTGTATAAGAGACAGTACATACATATGAGTCATTTCAAGCAATCTAGAGGCTATTTTCCGAAATCATCCCCAACTAAGGTGTGGACTCGACGCGTCTTTGAAGTAGGTAGGTCTAAAGTAAATATACATTAAAGACAATGTTTTTAAGTTTGAGGTATCGAAATACCTCTGCACCCTTGCCAAAACCACATCACCCCCATTTCCCCTTGGTGCTTCGTACCTCGCATTATCCACCCCCATTGCTAAATCCTAGATCAGCCACTGGTGTGAGGGAAATGAATATTACATAGCCTGTGATCATTCATTATAGTCCTGAAGTCACATCTGCATAGCTGTATATTGTCTTTATAACATCAGAATAATTATGTTAAAAGTGGTTAATCATTATTGTAATTGTTTTATAAATTGTACCAGTGCTTATTAGCGTGGACTTTTGTACGCCTCGCATGACTCGCACTGTTGGTACACATCCCACATGAATTACCGCCATGGCTCGCATCAATTGCATGCCTCGCTGGATGACTCGCTGGCTCGCACTTTGGCAACCCTCCCTCACCTTCGGAGAGGCAAGGGTAATAAACGTAATAAAAATCTGAACAAAGTAACAAATAACAACAGAAAAAAACAACGCTTTGAAAACCAATTCACACCGTCTCTATATTCCTGTGTAATCTCATAGTCTAGGTGGATCACATTGTGTAAAGTGCATGAGCCTATTTATCATTACATCTATTTATCAGGACATGGAGTATAGATGTACAGTACACTCATGTAACATAAAAATGCAGACAGTCAAGAACTAACCAAATTGATACTTACAATTACATAGAACTTGATATTCCTTAAATCTTAATCACAAGGTCATATTAGTACCAATAAAATGTTACTGAAGCAGTGCTGGTAAATATGGCTGCATGTCCTTCAGAAGTGGAAATTTCCTTTAAGCATGGAGGTATAAAAATGCTTCAAGTCTTTTTTTTCCCAGGTACCCCTATCACGCGACACTCTCCATGAATATTTTAAAATTGAGTATAGATGCTGATACTAAGTTGTGAGCTATTATTCTGCTGTTATCCAATCATTTTGCATCTTGGAGCTGTTTGAGCAACCTGTAGTCCGGGAAATGCATATCCTGTTTCCTGTCATGTGTATTTTTTTTTTATCTCCGACGAGGAGTACAGTACTCGGCTCATTTGTAATTAGATATCTTTTTGTCATCGATTAATAGATCTTTTTTGGTCGTTGATTAATAGTTCATTGATTATTAAAAAGATCTTTTATGGTCATTGATTAATAGATCTTTTATTTTGGGCGGCCGTTAGCCCCGATTATTTTTATTATTACTATTATTTAAGCTCAATGAGAAGCTTTAGAAACACTTGGCTGATTGACTAGACTATAACACGGCTCTATTTTATACAAATAATGAATGTTTATGAGTGCATTGGGGTAGAATATTTCATGAGGTGAAAGATTGGAGGTGTAGCTGAGTTGAATATAATCCAATATAAACCTTATAAAATATTCTTCCCCATTGTACGAATGAGAAACATTCATTATTTGTTTTATACAACACCTCTATATTTCCATTAGATCAATAAATACCTTTGTCCTGTAGGCCCTTGGGTAGGCCTAGCCTGGGGTATAGCCTAGTTGCGCTCCTGTATCAAAAAGTAGCAACATCTTCATCATTTCTTGTTACTCACAGGGTTTTTGTGAGATACTGTTATTTTGTTGCCTTTTTTTTGATTCAGCATCACTTTCATTCAGTAATTCCTCAAAACCTTCTTCAATCAAAAGTACAGGTGACAAAGTATAAAATGGACCTGCCATTTAATCGTTGACTAGTACTCAAATACCCTGTTTTCAACCAATCAAATTAATAGAATATATACAGGTGATTCTCTTGTAACAATTATCTGGACACTGTATTGTAGCAGTTTCTAATATACATTTTTTCCAAAAATCAAAATGTGGCTATGATTCTTAATGATGCTTACTACTGTACTTAGTTTCAAAGAATAGAAGCCACTTCCGAGAGGTGTGGTTTAATAATCCAATTGTATTTTAATTGCTTAGTAATACCAATGGACAGTTCATAGCTTGAGGTAGACAACATAGGCAGATCCAAGGGTGGGGGGCAGCCAATCCCAAGACCCAGTCCCCTTATATTTGTCAAAATATTTTTAAAAATTAAGAAAAAAGAAAATTTGACTAACATTTTGAGTCTAGGAGTGCCATTTCCGACCATCTAGAGGTGCCATAATCATAAATTTTCTTACTTCAGCCCCAACCATGGTGGGACTGAGGTAGTACATTCTCTCCTACCTGTGAAAGTCCCTCTGCGGGCCCCCTCTATTTCAAATTTTTGGATCCGCCACTGGATACTAAAACCATACAAACATTAATTAGCATATATATGAAGATTTATAAATATAATGTGGAATTGCTAGTTTACTGTAACTGAATTTGGACATTCATAAACATGAAAAAAAAAAAAGGTAAAATAAGACTGAAATTTGATTTTTTTGGTGTTCCACACACGGAATGAAGATAAATTTGTTATGTCTGATTTTGTGACAGGTCTGCAAAGAATTATAGTAGGCGCCAGAAATATTAGCCTAGCACCACTGCTAGACTAGGCCTAGCCTTACCTTGATTTGGTTCTCTTGCCATATGTAAAAACAGCCAATATGATTCCGTTGCTAGTATTGACACTTCGGTAATGTAATATTTCATTGGAATTATTTCAAATTTGTTTAAAAAAAATTATTGAGACTGATATTTTGACAATTAAACAAATATATCCCAGGCCTATACTCGATCGACTGGATTGGATTGGATTTATTCGGTGTAAACACCAAGGATAGCCCACAAAAGTCTGGAAGAAAACTTATTTCCAGTGGGGTCCTTCTGGTGGTGATTGGGCAGTACACGGGGAGACAATAACTACTCTTTTCCGAAGAGTGTACTGCGTTCTTTAATGTGCACATGGGCCATAATGCATACAGGACCAACGGCTTAAACGTCTCATCTGAAAGACTGTGCGCTAATTGTAACTTGTATTTTCAGCCCTCTAGCTGAAACACAAGGAGAGGCAGCGATGGGAATTGAACCGGGGACCTAGTGATCTCCACTGTTCAGCGCACACACAGTGGCTACCACCAGATTAGCCGACTGAGCTAACTAAAATTTATTTTCTTCTTTCTTCATTTAAACTTTTATTTAATTGACTCATTGAAACATCTTGAGTCAGCAGAATATATGAATATGTTCTATTCAACGAGGTATAGCCGAGTTAAATATAATCCAAACATTAATTATTTGTTTTATGCAACACCTCTGTATGTCCATTATATCAATAAATACCTTTGTCCTGTAGTCCCTCGGGTGTAGGCCTAGTGCCTAGCCTAGTTAGGCTGCTGTATCTAACGGTAGCAAATCTTCCGATATCATATCTTCGTTACTCAAAGGGTTTTTGTGAGTTACTGTTATTTTATTGCCTTTTTCTTTTGATACGTCATCACTTTCATTCAGTAATTCCTCAAAACCTTCTTCGCTCAAAAGTACAAATGACCAAGTATAAAATGTACCTGCCATTTTTACTGCGGAGCGAGGTCTACTGAATGATTACTCCCTGTTGACGCGCAGGTTGTAACACGCTATACTATTTTTGTCTGGCTTGCCCCGCGTTGCATTTGAGATTTTTGTCGTCTTGGAGAGAAAAGTAATATTCAACGATCATTGATTAGTATACTCAAATAACCATGGAATAGTCATTTTAAATCAATCTCACGTGACCTGCTTTCAAACAATCAAATAAATAGATTATATACAGGTGTATAATTACTATGGCTACACTAGAGTCTCAAGTCTGGCTTGACTCACCGCGGGTGAGATTTTCGTAATGTGACCGTACCTAGATCGACTAGCGCCTGGCGTGACCTCGATCTTAATCTACCTATCTCGATCCCGGCTCAGTACCCAGATTGACGCTGGCGTGACTGGGATTGACATTTCCTCGTCGGCTGTCGACCAATCACAGTCGATGACGCCGATGCGTTTAAAAGTTCTTTAATAAAAAACCTGCGGCAATCATCAGTTGTTATTTATAAATGCACTTATCAATCCGAAAACTAGCATCGCCATTACATCCGAGCCTAGGCCTAGATCATCTAGATTCGCGCACGGGGCCGGTATTCTGATTGTGGCTGCGCTCTAACTTCCTGTTTTGACTTTCCTAATTTGGAGATCAATCCAACTAAATTCAGATACTGTGTGACCGACCCAGAATTTCGAGCCTGGCTTGAAATCTCACCTACGGTGAGTCAAACCAGGCTTGAGACTCTAGTGTGACCGTAGCCTACTATTCTCTTGTGACAATTATCGGGATATACTGTATTATAGCAGTTTCTAAATACATTTTTTTCAAAATTCAAAACATGGCTGTGTGGTTCCTTTAAGCGCATTAATGATGCTTACTACTGTATTTACAAGGGTCGAAATACTAGGAGAAGCCACTTCCGTGAGGTGTGGTTTATTGATCCAATTGTATGTTAATTGCTTGCAGCATATTAATACCCATGGACAGTTCATAGTTTGAAGTAGACAACATAGGTGGATTCAAGGAGGGTGAGGAGGGGGAGACCCAGCCCCCCCCCCCCCCCCCCCCCCCCCCCCTGTTAACGAAAAATTTGAAAATAGAAAATTTGACTAACATTTTGAGTCTAAGAGTGCCATTCCGGCAATCTAGAGGTGCCATAATCATAAATTTACTTACCTCAGCCCCAACCATGGTGGGGCTGAGGTAGTATAGACCCTCCTCCTGTGAAAGTTCCTCTGCAGGCCCCTTCTATTTCAAATTCCTGGATCTGCCACTGGACAATAACACTAAAAACATCCAAACATTAATTAGAATAATATGCTAATTAATCTCCTAGAAACTAAACCTATTATATTATGATAGGTTTAGTTTCTAGGAGATACCAGTACTTGGGAGTATGACCTTGCTGATGTCTGTGGAGACTGCCTTATATTTGTTATAATTGTTTTGTATATTAATATAAATTAATTTCCATATTTTATTTTACACAAAAATGAAAATAGAAAATAAACAAGTGGAAATAACGTAGAAAAAGCAAGGATACAACTAAAAAATTAAATACCATGTTTGTTATGATTAATTAAAGAGTAATTCTGGCTCAAATCAACCACCATGCCCCTGTGACCTCCTCCCCTCTTGGATTTTCCTCTAAAATGTTCTAAAAATACTAGTTCATTTATGTCAAATCAGTTCAATTTAGTTCAGTTCAACTTTATTTTAAGCAACATTCCCATCAAAGTTTCAGTTCTAAAAAAAAATCTGATTTTTTATTATAAAGATTTATAAATATAATGCGGAGTTGCTAGTTTAACTGAATTTAGACATTTCTAAACATGAAAAAAAAAAGTAAAAACTATCGCAAAATTGTTTGATTTTGCGATAGGTCTGCGAAGAAATATAGTAGGCGCCAGAAATATTAGTCTACAGGTAGCACCACTGCTAGGCTAGGCCTAGCCTTATCTTGATTTAAGTTCTCTTCATATGTAAAAACGGCCAATATGATCATTATTTTCCGTTGCTACTATTGGAACTTATTTCAAATTTGTTTTAAAAAAAATGATTGAGACTGAAATTTTGAAAATTAAATATATCTCAGGTCATCCTCGATCGACTAAGTGTGCTAGATGCGAAGTACAAAAACTAATAGCATTGGTGGGGAGATATCTTTTTTAGTGAAATTTTTCTGGGAATGTGGCTAACCACAGAAACCTAGGTCAACACAGGGTTATTTTTTTCTGAGGCTGTGCACATAAATACATTACAAAATGTATACATAATGAATAAAGCTCAATATAAATTGAATAAAAAAAAATAAATAAAAATAATATATTAATCTATATGAACTCAGTCTTTTTGCAGTGAGTTTCCTTGTGGATGTAAATAATAAAAAAC